ATAAAATTTATTACATATACTCTTTTGGACCATGGGGGTGAGTAAATGATGATAAAATTTTCATTTTTGGGTGGGTGAACTATACGTTTAATAATTTTTTATTATTATTACTATGGAAATATTATTTCTTTAATGAAATGATACTCTAAATAATAAACTAAAACTGCCAGTAGGTGGTGGTAAATGTCTTAATGATTAAGTCATCGAGTCATTTATTCATTTGATTCATGCTAATGGCTAAGTAAATGGTTCTTAATGAATGGTCCATTGAATCATTAGGCTTGTTCGACTTGAAGCGGATCGTCACCATCAGACCGATCAGTGTGTGACATCAAAGTACCGCGAGAGCTATGGAGAGCAGATGGCTCCTTTTGCTTTTGAATCGCTCTCGCGGTACTTTGATGTCATCGGTCTGTGCAGCGTCGCTTCAAATCCAACGCGCCTATGGCCAATGGTTCAACGCGCCAAATGGTTCACCCAATTCGTTCAAAACGTGCATTAAGAAATGAAATGCCGCTTTGTTTTGCTTGGAGACAGTTCTGCTTTGTCTTTATATTTTCGTTGGCAAAATTGAGCAAAACAGACAACATTGTGTCTAAAATAACACCATATTAACTTATTACTTACTGAACTGTTGTATAAGATCTGTGTCACATTTGCACTCGTGCGATATTGCACTTAGCCTATTGCTCGTGTGATATTGCTTAACTATATGATGTAAATATGAGACAAAAACTCAAACGGGCATTTTTTCCCCATATCTTGAATTTTAGGGACATTTTAATTAGGCTACGTTCTCTAGACTCCATCACGCAGTGAGTTGTTGCCCTGCCTCATATTTGTAATTAATCAGCTGTATGAAATGTCAGATGACCCACATAGGTCTGGGGCGGGGCAAGTGCGTTAAATGCGTTAATAATTTTAACGTGTTATTTTTCACCGTAATTAATTAATCTAATTAACGCGTTAAATTACCAGCCCTAATTTTTATATATTTTTAAATAATCCTGTGATGGCTAAGCTGAATTTTCATCAGCCATTACTCCGGTCTCCAGTGTCACATGATCCTTCAGAAATCATTCTGATGCTGATTTGATGCTCAAAAAACATTTCAATTATTACACTTTTTAAAACAATTATTACACTTTTTTCCAACATTGATAATAAAAAATACCTAATAATTGGGCAACAATAATAATTGATAATAACTGAGCATGAAATCGGCATTATAATGATTTCTGGATGATCATGTGACACTGAAGACTGCAGTAATGGCCATCACAGGAATAAATTACATTTTAAAATATAATAAAATTCAAAACGTTTGACCGGTATTGTATATTTTTTGATTTGTAGTATTTATTTAAATATCTGAACTATAGGCCTGACTGGGCCAGTAGATTGTTCAGTATCAATGAAAGTATTATCACATGCCTGTAGTCTGAGCAACTGCTGTATCGGTCTCTATTTTCTCCTCTGTATCCCTCTTTACTCTCTCCAATCCATAGATATTTATTTACCCAGCAAAAGGAGCTGTTTTGCTGTTACGTGTGTACATCATAAAACACACACACACACACACACACACACACTCCCACACTGATGTCTGCAGGCAAAGTCACTTTTTGTACATCGCCAGGAAAAGACGGACAGGGAAGGCGAGTTTGCTTGTCTGTGTGTGCGAGAGACAGTAAGGTGGCTTATTGCATTTGCGAAGAGGTGCTTTCTGGGGGTGCACTGCAGTGGGTTGGATGGAAAGAATGCACGGTGTGCTCTGCCGACCATTTATCATACTAAATAATGACCCCAGCTTTGCTGTGACATCATCGTAATAGCATTTACAGGAAGAGAGATTCCAGACTTTGTTGCATGTATATCAGTATGACAGAGGGAATGTGGCTGTCACTTTGCAATATCTGTATTGCTGAGGGGGTGCAGATGCGCTGTCTGATTCTTCAAGTGACGGCTCGTGTTTGTGATTTCCTCTGTGATAAACAAGGCCACCTGAGGCCACGTGCCGAATACGCTCTGATCCGAGATCAGTTTGTTCTTTTAGCCTGTGAGAATAATAAATCAGCATATTAGAATGATTTCTGAAGGATCATGTGACACTTTAGACTGAACAGTAATGATGCTGAAAATTCAGCTTTGCATCACAGAAATAAATTATATTTTAAGGTATATTAAAATAGAAACCTTTATTTTATATTGTAATAACATTTTGCAAGATTACAGTTTTTTCCTGTATTTTTGATCAAATAAATGCAGCCTTTGATGAGCATAAGAGTCTTCTTTAAAAAACATTGCAAGTCTTACTGATATTTATTTATTTATTTATTTTTCAATCATTTAGTATCTTTATGGGCAATGGACTTTTAGCCGATGTAACAATGTTTGTGTAAAGGGTGGTTAGTTAAGTTTAGCTAAATGCTTGCTAAAGACATAACACGCATTGTAATTTGTGTGCAGAACATGTTTTTAATGTCTCAACACTTGTATTAATGTAATACTGTATACAATTAAATTAGGGTATTCCTTGAGTCATACATCAACAGGAGAAAACAAATCCGTTTTTTAAGGAAATATTTATTTATCAAAACAATGTAATATAAACAGATTGAACCGTGTTCCCTTACAGTAATCAAATTGACCCCTGTACATTTCTGACCTTTTAACCAACCCTAACCCTACCCGTATCAAGTGTTAAAAAATACTCCCTATTTATGTATGTATGTATTTATTTATTTAATATTATATTTGGGTAAAAAAAACGTTCCTGTAGTTCAAACAGCATTGCATAATTTAAGAAAACCTAACCTAGGCACTAGCGATTCCAAGGTCATGGATTCGATTCCCAGGGAAATCAAGAACTGATAAAATATGAATATGAACCTTGAATTCAGTGCAAGTTGCTCTGTATAGATGTAAATGCAATGAAAAAGAAGGAAAAATTACACTACCATTAATTTAACCTTTTTGAGATGTCTGATAAACGCAATAACTACTGATCCAGCTGCTGCTTGTGTGCTGGAGTTTAGCTGGTCACACACCACTGACTACGTGCTATGTAAGAGAAGATTGTGCATCATTCCCACAGCGGTGAGCATGTGACAGACTGTGGGCGTCCACAGAAGGCCACCATGGCAGCGCTGGGAAACAGGGCCGGAGTCTGACAGCTGGGTTGCCGAGAGAGTCAATGTGTATGAACGTGTGTGTGTGTGTGTGTGTTTGAGAAAGAAAGCAAGCTTGCTTAATGACAGCTTATTCCTTCATGAGTTTAACTCCTGACAGCCGACAGCTCTGCCTGTTGCATCATGGTAGCAGAATCATTACCTTGTGACCTGTCAAAAGCAGAGTTTCAGCAGAAGAGCGCAAGAAAAAGCTGGAGAAACGAAAGACCTGTGGGATTTTGACTTCACTCGTATTGCAGGGTCAGAATTTGAGTACTGTAAACCAGAGGTGTGGGTGATCTGTGACCCTTAAAACTGGTCACAGGCCTGTCCTGATAGGATTACAAAACCACTGGCTTAAACTAGCCCAGTGTTTATGCAAG